TCACAGTGAGGAACATGTGAAATTGTTCAAGCATTTTGTTGAGACCAGAAATCTCAGAAAGTAAAAAAACACTCACCATCTCGCCGTTCGGTCCAGACGGCCCACTATCAAAGGATATCGCTCCATTCGGTCCTGGAGCTCCTTTAGGTCCTCGTGGTCCAGGTGGTCCTGGTGGTCCCTTTATTCCTGTGCCGCCAATTGTATCGTCCCCGATCGGTCCCTTCAAGCCTGGTCCGCCCATTTCACCAGCAGGACCCTGTGGACCTACTGCACCAACAGGTCCGGGTCGACCTGGCCTACCCGGAATCCCAGAAAGTCCACCTGGGCCCGGTGAGCCCGCACGGCCTGCCTCACCTTGAGCACCACGATTGCCTGGTGGTCCAACAGGGCATAGAACACTGAAAATCGAATTTAAATAGTTGATAGTATGTATTTTTTCAAGCATAACTCATTGAGCCGAGGGGGTTTGGTACTGAGGGAAGGCAGTAAGTAGGTACAAAGATTAGAAATAATTGTGCAAGGGACACTGGTGTGTTCAGTGACTTCTTCAAAAGAAGTGACTTCAGAAGAATTTATTAGATATTGCCTCATTCTTTAGTGTGGAGAAGGTGAGAAAATATACCATGGAAAGACGGGTTCAGGCTCATGAACGAAATCCAGTCCATGCATACCGGATTTTCCCGAAGTTCCTTTTTTACCGTTGACGCCTGGCTCACCATCTCGACCAGCTTGCCCGGGTCTGCCAGGTGGACATTTGAGTTTCATGCATTTGGTACACTCCAGTTCATGCACTCCTCGTGGGGCTGCTTCTGAAAATCACGGAATCATTCTCATGACACAGTCAATCCATAATTTTAGATCGTCTTGTTCGTTTACATCCAGCGAATCCATCAAAACAATAAAACTGGAACTAGTAAACTTCAAACAAGAATTGCAAACCTCTTTGGAAACGTGGACTCGAGAAAAGGGCATCTTTCCATAATTTTCGAGCATTGAACTAAATTCAACTTTGTTTTGTATTCACATTCCGAAATTCACATCACAAGTGAAAGGTAAAAATTATTATTATTTGAAAAATAATGACCTTTAGTGAATTTTCGAACATCAGATAAGAACTTCTGAGTTCAAGTTTTCGCTC